GGTAGCTTGTGTTTCTGTGGGTTCAGTGGTGATATCCCCCTTTATCATTTTTATTGTGTCTATTTGATTATTCTCTCTTTTCTTCTATATTAATCTTGCTAGTTGTCTATTAAGTTGTTGATCTTTTCAAAAAACCAGCTCCTGGATTCATTCATTTTTTGAAGTGTTTTGTGTTTCTGTATCTCTTTCAGTTCTGCTCTGCTCTTAGTTATTTCTTGCCTTCTGCTAGTTTTTGAATGTCTTTGCTCTTGCTTCTCTAGTGCTTTTAAGTGTGATGTTACGGTGTTGATTTTAGATCTTTCCTGCTTTCTGTTGTGGGTATTTAGTGCTATAAACGTCCCTTTAAACACTGCTTTAAATGTGTCCCAGAGATTCTGGTACGTTGTGTCTTTCTTCTCACTGGTTTCAAAGAACATCTTTATGTCTGCCTCATTTGTTATTTACCCAGTAGTCATTCAGGAGCAGGTTGTTCAGTTTCAACGTAGTTGAACAGTTCTGAGTGAGTTTCTTAATCTTGAGTTCTAGTTTGATTGCACTGTGGTCTAAGAGACAGTTTGTTGTGATTTCTGTTCTTTTACATTTGCTGAGGAGTGCTTTACTTCCAATTATGTGGTCAGTTTTAGAATAAGTGTGATGTAGTGCTGAGGAGAATGTATATTCTGTTGATTTGGGGTGGAGAATTCTGTAGATGTCTATTAGGTCTGCTTGGTGCAGAGCTGAGTTCAAGTCCTGTATACCCTTGTTAACCTTCTGTCTCGTTGATCTGTCTAATATTGACAGTGGGGTGTTAAAGTCTCCCATTATTGTGTGGGAGTCTAAGTCTCTTTGTAGGTCTCTAAGGACTTGCTTTATGAATCTGGGTGATCCTGTATTGGATGCATATATATTTACGATGGTTAGCTCTTCTTGTTGAATTGATCCCTTTGCCATTATGTAATGGCCTTCTTTGTCTCTTTTTATCTTTGTTGGTTTAAAGTCTGTTTCATCAGAGAGTAGGATTGCAATCCCTGCTTTTTTTTGCTTTTCATTTGCTTGGTAGATTTTCCTCCATCCCTTTTTTTTGAGCCTATGTGTGTCTCTGCATGTGAGATGGGTCTCCTGAATACAGCACACTGACGGGTCTTGATTCTTTATCCAATTTGCCAGTCTGTGTCTTTTAATTGGAGCATTTAGCCCATTTACATTTAAGGTTAATATTGTGATGTGTGAATTTGATCCTGTCATTATTATGTTAGCTGGTTATTTTGCCCATTACTTGATGCAGTTTCTTCATGGCATCGATGGTCTTTACAATTTGGCATGTTTTTGCAGTGGTTGGTACTAGTTGTTTTTTTCCATGTTTAGTGCTTCCTTCAGCAGCTCTTGTTGTAAGGCAGGCCTGGTGGTCACAAAATCTCTCAGCATTTGTTTGTCTATAAAGGATTTTATTTCTCCTTCACTTATAAAACTTAGTTTAGCCGTATATGAAATTCTGGGTTGAAAATTCTTTTCTTTAAGAAGGTTGAATACTGGCCCCCACTCTCTTCTGGCTTGTAGGGTTTCTGCCAAAAGATCTGCTGTTAGTTTTATGGGCTTCTCTTTGTGGGTAACCCGACCTTTCTCTCTGGCTGCCCTTAACATTTTTTCCTTCATTTCAACTTCGGTGAATCTGACAATTATGTGTCTTGGGGTTGTTCTTCTAGAGGAGTATCTTTGTGGTGTTCTCTGTATTTCCTGAATTTGAATGTTGGCCTGCCTTGCTAGGTTGGGGAAGTTCTCCTGGATAATATCCTGAAGAGTGTTTTCCAACTTGGTTCCATTCTCCCCATCACTTTTAGGTACACCAATCAAACGTAGATTTGGTCTTTTCCCATAGTCCCATATTTCTTGGAGGCTTTGTTCATTTCTTTTTACTCTTTTTTCTCTAAACTTATCTTCTCACTTTATTTCATTAATTTGACCTTCAATCACTAATCCCCTTTCTTCCACTTGATTGAATTGGTTATTGAAGTTCGTGCATGCGTCACGAAGTTCTCGTGCCATGGTTTTCAGCTCCATCAGGTCATTTAAGGTCTTCTCTACACTGCTTATTCTAGTTAGCCATTCATCTAACATTTTTTCAAGGTTTTTAGCTTCCTTGCAATGAGTTAGAACATGCTCCTGTAGCTCAGAGAAGTTTATTATTACCGAGTTTTTGAAGCCTACTTCAGTCAACTCATCAAAGTCATTCTCCATACAGCTTTGTTCTGTTGCTAGAGAGGAGCTGTGATCTTTTGGAGGAAAAGAGGCACTCTGGCTTTTAGAATTTTCAGCTTTTCTGCTCTGGTTTCTCCCCATCTTTGTGGTTTTATCTACTTTGTGTTTTTGATGTTGGTGACCTACAGATGGGGTTTTGGTGTAGATGTCCTTTTTGTTGATCTTGATGCTATTCCTTTCTGTTTGTTAGTTTTCCTTCTTACAGTCAGGTCCCTCAGCTGCAGGTCTGCTGGAGTTTGCTGGAGGTCCACTCCAGACCCTGTTTGCTTGGGTATCAACAGCAGAGGCTGCAGAACAGCAAATGTTGCAGAACAGCAAATATTTCTGCCTGATCCTTCCTCCAGAAGCTTCATCCCAGAGGGGCACCCGCCTGTATGAGGTGTCTGTCAGTCCCTACTGGGAGGTGTCTCCCAGTTAGGCTACATGGGGTTCAGGGACCCACTTGAGGAGGCAGTCTGTCCGTTCTCAGAACTCAAACACCATGCTGGGAGAACCACTGCTCTCTTCGGAGCTGTCAGACAGGGATGTTTCTTTCTTTTTTTTTTTGAGATGGAGTCTCACTCTTGTCCCCCAGGCTGGAGTGTAGTGGTGCAATCCTGGCTCACTGCAATCTCCACCTCCCCGCTTCAAGTGATTCTCTTGCCTCAGCCTCCCAAGTAGCTGGGACTACAGTCGCCCGTCACCACACCTGGCTAATTTTTCTATGTTTAGTAGAGATGGGGTTTCACCAAGTTGGCCTGGCTGGCCTCAAACTTCTGACCTCAGGTGATCTGCCAGCCTTGGCCTCCCAGAGTTCTGGGATTACAAGCATGAGCCACTGCACTCAGTCAGAAAAGTTTTTTTTTTTTTTTTAAATAAATTGAGTGTAGCCTAAGTGTACAGGGTTTATAAAGTCTACAGTAGTGTACAGCAACAGCCTAGGCCTTCACATTCACTCACCACCCACTCACTGACTCCCTCAGGGCAACTTTCAGTCCCGCAAGCTTCATCCATAGTAAGTGCCCTATACAGGTGTATCATGTTTTATCTTGTATATCATATGTTTACCACATCTCTTCTATGTTTAAATACACAATACTTCTATGTTTAAATACACAAATACTTACACCTCTGTGTTACGAGTGACTACAGTATTCACTACATGTTTGTAGCCTAGGGACAACAGGCCATACATACCATACAGCCTACGTATATAGTAGGCTATGCCATCTAGATTTGTGTAAGTACACGCTATGGTGTTCACACAATGATAAAACTGCCTAATGATGTATATTGCAGAACACACTGCTGTAGTTATGCAATGCATGACTGTACATGATTTTTAGAATTGTAACAGTACAGACGTGCATAAGATATAAAGAAAACCACTGTCAACACACCTAGTCTCATTTTCCACGGTGCTTTTGTTCATATCTGTTTTTATTTTGATTGGCAGTCTTACGGTTCAAATGTTTGTACCCTCCAAATCTCATGCTGACCCTTAATCCCCATTATAATGGCATTAAGAGGATGGGAAATCCAACTATGGTATTTGAGAGGTGAGAACTCTGAGAAGTAGTTAAGATTAGATGAGATCATTAGGATGGGATATTAGTCACTTCATAAGAGGAGGAAAAGAAAACTGAGCTAGCAAGCTCAGCTCCTTCACCCTGTGATGCCCTACACTGCCTTTGGACTCTGCAAAGAGTCTCCAATAGCAAGATGGCCCTCACCACATGCAGCCCCTCAATCTTGGACTTCTCAGCATCCAGAACTGTACAAAATATATTTCTTTTTATTTTAAATTACTCAGTCTCAGTTATTCCATTATAGCAACAGAAAACAGATGAATACAGACAGCAATCAGTCTAAATACTATGAGTACACTTCTATTTCTTGGTTTGTCATCTTTAAGCAGTGCCTATTGACTTTATGCCATTAAGAGAATGAATTATCTTAGAGAAACCATCCCACACTTCCAAATTTTGCCAGTGATATTACTTAAAAATTCTTATCTATTTTGACTCATCAACTTTAAATGGTACTTCTAGACTCCACGCTAAGATGAAAAAATGTACAAATAGGCAAAACTCAATCAGAGAGTAATACTATGAAGCATTTACCTTGTTCATAAAGTAGTTTCATATTCGAATCTTTGCAGGCAACTAGATTGTTGAGTAACGCAATCACACTTTGCATGGTATTACCCAGAATGCTCTCCTGATGTTCCTGCAATAGATCATAATTCCCAACATAACCATACAGAAATACAATTACATCATCATAAAGACAAATGAGCAAATGATCTCCATTGCTTCATTCTTTGCACAAGGTTAAATGATAGCCTTTTTGCACTTTAATGAAGCACATCCTTCTGTGTTAAGACAAATCCCATCAGTGAGCTAAGTGAGCTGGGAGGGAAGGTAAATCACTCAGACACCAGTGCTGCAGTACGGACTCCCCCGCCCATGAGCTGAGAGACAACACATGGTCCTCCATGCTTTAGGTGGGTGACAAAGGAATTCAAATACGTAGAACTCAGAAGACCATGCCTGAAGATGAATTTGAGATCACAAAAGAGAACTACTTCAAGCAAATATTTCTGCAGTTTCAACATTATGCTGGTACTGATATTTTCCCACTTTAGTACATTTGATCTGATTTATTATATTACTGCTTCAGTGCAATAAGCTACATTTGGACCTAAAAGAGTGAATTGTGAATTTTGCTTTCCTCAACACTTAGCATCATACAGGAGGGAGTAACTTAGGTCCTAAAGAGAATGGAAAATGAGTTATTCTTTAGTCTTAATTTCTCATTTTAAAGGCAGAATCATTTCTTTGTAATTTTTAAAGGGTCTTACAAACAACTTGCTTTGCTTTTGTTCCCTTTTTCATTGCTGTGAATATTTTTTAAAATTAAGCAATTAACACAGATTATAATTGAAATTATTAAATTTCATATAATTCAAAACTAAAGAGACAGTCTTTGCAGTCTGGAACTAGGATGAGGCAAGAGAGACACACAGGGTGCAAAATGTAAGGTAGTACTCCTCACTCTCAGGGTCCTATAAGTACCTACTGAGAGTGAGGACTCCCAGGAATCTAGCTTGCCCCGCTCTAAGTCCTGTGCCCATTCACCATGACTATTCTGCCAACAACTAATCCAACCTTGAAAAGCAACAAGCATATTAATTAGTAGGCTTAATCTAGACCTTTTCATATTACCTTTCTCCACCCCTCACCCACAGAGAAACATATGGTTTGCTGTGGGGTTGTTTTTTAACATATAGCTATTTTGTGCCAGGCACTATAGTAGGCACTTGAGGTATGCTAGTGAACAAAGTCCCCTATCCTCATGTAAATAGATAACAAAAAGTATAATAAATAAGTGAACTGTATAAGGTATTAGAAGATAGCAGAGTACTCTGGCAAAAAAGAAAAAGGCAGAGCAGGGAAGCGAGGTTGAGAGGGCAGCAGTGGGGCTGCACATGATTTGAAATTGGGTGGTCAGGGTAAGACTCATTGAGAAGGTGTCACTTAACAGAATTTTTTTTTTTTTTAATTTTTTGAGATGAAATCTTGCTCTATCGCCAGGCTGGAGTGCAGTGGTGTGATCTCGGCTCACTGAACCTCCACCTCCCAGGTTCAAGCGAGTCTCCTGCCTCAGCCTCCCGAGTAGCTGGGACTACAGGTGTGTGCCATCATGCCCAGCTAATTTTTTGTATTTTTAGTAGAGACAGGGTTTGACTGTGTTGGCCAGGATGGTCTCGATCTCTTGACCTCGTGATCCATCCACTTCAGCCTCCCAAAGTGCTGGGATTACAGGTGTGAGCCACCATGCCTGGCATTTAACAGAAATTTTATTTTACTTTTTAAGTGCTGAAGCCTCTTGGTATCTCTTAATTCATTAATAAGCTTTTCTTTTTCAATAACTTAAGCTTTATAGAAGAGTTTCAAAGATAGTACAGAGAGTTTCCATATACCCATCACCCAGTTTTCCCTCATGTTAACATCTTACCCTAAACATGTTATATTCATCAAAACTAAGAAATTTACAGATATTAACAACTCAGCTACAGACTATTCAAGTGGCACCAGTTTTCCACTGATGGCCTTTTCTCTTCCGGAATCCAATCAAGGATCCTTATTTTATATTCAGGATTATTTATTTTTGCAACAAATACTAAGTGCCAACTATTCTAGGTAGTTGGCTTGTATCAGTGAACAAAACAGAAGAAAAGCCCTGCCCTTATGGTGTTTACCTTGTACCACGAGGAGAAGACGATAAATAACATAACAAACAATTACAAGATATGTTAGAAGGTGATATACGCTATGAGAGAAAATAGGGAACAGGACAAGGTGGCTTGGAGTGCTGCAGGGGAAGCTGCAATGCTAGAGCAAGCAAAGCATAGCTCCTTCAGAAAATGACATTTGAGCAAAGATTTGAAGACGTAGACACGTGTTTATTCTCTTAATATACTTCTAGACTCTGTCAGCTAAGTTTCTTTAGGATTGTTGCATCTATGTTCATAAGTGATACTGACTGAGGAGTGACACCCTCTTCTGATTTTAGTATCAATTTCATGCTAACCTTGTCCATCCATTTTATTCCAAAAATATTTATTGTGCATCTAATATGTGTTTCTAGGAAATCTGGTAGAACTCACTCACACAAGCAACTAGCCTCCATACATTTCTGCCAGTTGTGTGGAAAAACACACATAAATTCAAAGTGCTTTTTCTCTTCTCTCACTCAGTAATAATCAACACAGGAGACTTCTGTGACCAAATGCGTGGGGATTTTCCCCACACATGAAGCAAGCAATCGATTCTGCAGCTAACACAAGCTGAGTGTTCTCTGATTCAACTCCACACCATCTACCTGGAAATAGTATCAGACCCCATAGGGCGAGGGCTCAGTCCCACAAGGCTACGCCCTCCTCCCTTATTCTGACACTCATCGCAAGTCTGGGGCTCTAGAACTTCTGACCCACTAGCATCAAGTTGGGGTTCCCGTGATTCCCTCTTTGGGTTCAATTAATTTACTAGAGCGGCTCACAGAATTCAGGAAAACACATTTACCATTTTACTATAAAGGATATTACAAAAGACATGGATGGAGAGATGCATAGTGCAAAGTATGGGAGAAGAGCTGTGGAGCTTCTGTGTCTTCCCTGGGCACACCACCCTCCAGCAACCTGTACATATTCAGCTATGTGGAAGTTCTCTGAACTTTGGGGTTCTGTTATAGGTCCTTTGGGGTTTTTATGGAAGCTCTGTTATGTAGGCAAGACTGATTATATCACTGGCTGTAAGTGATCAACCTAATCTCAGCCCCTTTCCCCTCCCCAGAGGTTGGGGATTGCGACTGAAAGTTTTCAGCCCTCTAATGTTGCCTTGGTCTTTCAGGTGACAAGCCACCATCCTGAAGCTACCGTAGGGGATGCCAGCCATCAACTCATTAGCATACAAAATGACAGCACCTGAAGACAGAGTTTCTAAGGATTTTAGGAGTTATATGCTAGGAAACAGGGGAGAAGATCAAATATATACTTCACGATATCATACCAGTAGAACTTAAAAAGAAACTGAAAAGCAAAACACTTCTACTCAGGCATCTACAACATCTTGAACCAATGTGGTTATTTCTATTTCCCTAGAAAACCATCTACAACATCTAGATTTTCAAACATATTGTAATAAAATCCTACAAAGCATTCTATTACACCTTCACAAAACTTCCCTGGACCCTATTTATGATGCCTTTTACACGGTGTCCTCTCTCTTGTTGATCAGACTCACCAAAGTTTTATCTATAGATGATATCAGACTTTTCAACAAACCAGCTTTCCATTTTAATGACTACCCTACTTTTTTTTGAGTTAGTCATTATGAATGACTAACACATTTCCCACTTATCTCTCCTAGGTATACGGTAGAATGGCATTTCCCTGCCTGCTTGGAAAATGACACTAGTGATGAAAATGATACTTGATTTGGTCAATTAAACTCACACGGGCAGAAGCATTAAGAGCCAGTGACAGCTTCATCATCCTGTCTTTTCCTCTGTCCCATGATCTTCTAGATGGTGCGGCTTCTAATGGCCTGGGTATCAGAGAGAGAACATGAAGCAGAGAATCCAGGAATCTCTTGATTGGACAGGTGGTATCCAAGGCTTACAAAAATACCCACACTGAACCTGGCTCTGAAACTGCTTTCTCAGCAGATCTGTACCTCCCACCGATGAGAGCCACTTGATTTCATATAGGTTTTGCCATGTATGCCATTGTTTAACACAAGACAAAGTGTTTGCTTTCCAAATATTGATGACTAAAAATTTTGAACTTCAGAAACACACGCTTAAGAGCACTTTTGCAGTGAATGTTAATGTTTGAATGTTTCACTGACACCAGCTTAAGAAGATTAATGTGGAAGCGATGGTCTGCCACCAATTTCATCTAATTTTTCTTACAGTTGGTTGGAAGGAAAGGGTGATTAATAAGCACCAAGATGACACTACATGTTACTCGTGATAAAATAACTAACGATACATAGAAAACCTGTTCTTGTGAAGAAAGTGAAGCTAATAAATCTTTTATTTTTGGTCCCATTTGGTAAAATGACACATACTGCTCCTTGTTCAAAGACTCATCTGTCAGCAAATATAGGTCAGTCTTACTAGAAATAAAACTATTGTTTCTTTGAGATACACATTTTTGTAACTAAATGCACATTTCCTACAATACCCTTGGCAATAACTTTGCTCATTCTGAAGCCAATACCTCAGCTTTTCCTGTACTCATGAGTGAGTGCCACTTGTTGATATAGGTACTTCCTTCAGTACAAAAGCTAACTCACCCTAGCCGCTAAGAACACAGAATCAGATCCCAGTCAATCAGGTCCTGGGGCCCCCTTCCTGCAGGTCCCAGAGTCACTGCAGAATAAAGGCCTCTGCCTGCCCCACTACTCAATCTGCAGAGGGGTATAAAACGAAGGTACACTCTATCAAACTTCCCCACTAACATTATTACTAGGAGTACTTAGGAAAAAAAAATCTAATGCACAGAATAAAAAAAGAGATGAATAATCCCATAACCAGCCTGAAGGAAACGGTTCCACTTCTGTTCTAGACATTATTAAAAAACACTGTTTTCTTTATTATCTTTGTTGGTTTATAAACTATCCATAGATCATAAACTTTGCTCAGAATAAAGTAAGGGCTTC